AACAGACTTTATGATGATGCGGGCGGTGCCTGAGAACCAAGACTATTAATTTCTTTTTTAGCCTTATACTACTCAAAAGAAGCTAAAGAACACCTGATTATTTCATAAGACTATATAGTTAATCTGTCTTACAATGACAGATTAACAAATCACTGGAAACAAAATCAGGAATTCTTCGCCTTCTTTTGAGTATATTATAATAATAATAAAATTATTTCTTTATACTGAAATGAAACATAAAACAACAATGAATAATGTAAATGAAACATGATATAATCCATGAATATAAACTCAGGACACAAAATAAAACAACATACATGTACATACATTTATTGAATGTCTGTCTACTGAATTAATGATAAAATGGTCTATCATCAACTTAACCAAGACCTCAAACAAACAGACCAAAAATGATGAACACCAGTAATCTGAAGTTCGAAAAGTAAAAGCTAAAACATACATCCTCTTAAAAATCAAACACTGGTCACACAGAACCACAGATTGTGAATGAACATAATCTCATTAATATCAGACCTCTGTTCTCGCTACCGCTAAAAAAAAATCTGAGGACACCCATTAGGGGTCACGTCAGAACGACCTTTCATCCGACCAATCAGAGCATCGCTTACCAGATTATGAAAGTGACAGTTGGAATGTGATTTCTAATCATGCAATCTCGAAAACTTTAACTCCGAACAATAGTTATGGGTTTAACGACTGAATCCATACAATCTAGACCATCTATTAGCCATTCCAGAATGTTCTTTTGTTAGGTTTCAAATTTGTAATCAAGAATTTGTCAAAATATGTTTCGAAGCGTAGTCGCCAATTTGAAATTAGTGCCGTAAAGCACGAGAAAGCTGCCTTCTGATTGGTCATTCCATTAGTTGGTCAGAGTTCGCGCAAGGTTGGTCTGATGTGACCCGTAATGGGATGTCCTCAGAACTTTGTTTAGCGGTAGCGAGAACTAAGATCTGATTTTAATGAGATTGGAATGAACATGGCTGTATCGCTTACTGCTCCACCATGTATGGATCACTGATGTCCTCAGCCATATTAATTTGTAAAGGTCTTGTAACTGTATGTCGGTCCCTGTGTTTCAAGGTACAGCAAACAACAGCATTTTTAGAAAGAAATGTGTCATTAGGGTGTAGTAGAAACAGCCTGTATATTTTTGGAAGCAGAGTTTTACATTTTGCTTTTACCAATATTGCACTAATCATGCAAATTGCGGGGCACTATATGTATCAAGCTCCTCACAGCGATAGTCCGTTTGCGGAGCTCTCTATACCGAGAGCGTAGCGAAGGTGTCACGCTCTGGGAAGGAGCTTGTATATATATATATATATGTTAAGGCTGCACACTTAAATTATAATATACAATTTTTAATGATTTCTTTCTCTTCATGTAAACAAGAATGTGTTAAGCTAGTATGTTTTACTTCTTGATTTTGGTATGAAGTTATTTGGAGCAATCAGTTTAGCATGATTAGGCCACACATTTTTTATTTTCGTTTCACGGGTCTGAGGCACCTACTGAAAAGCAGCCAGTCCAAGAAATAAATAAAACATGGAAATATTTATTTTTATTATGTCTCCCAATAGTAACATAGACCCTGATATACGATATAAAATTTTATACATAAATTCCATAAATAGCAGTGATTCAAGAGGCCATGCACCTGCAGTTTTAACTCCACAGCAGAATGACTTTCACATAAATAATTAAATGATTGCCTATTTATTCTTTTATTTGGATTGACCTTGCGTGGAAAAGCTGGAATAAATCTGTCAAAAAAAAAGAAAAAAGTATGGCTTCAGTGGGGAAAAAAGGTAAATACTTATGCTGTTTCAATTTTATATAATTTTGATTTTCAATCAAACATTGGCAAAGATTGAGCAGACAAGCAAATAAAAACAAATTTACAATATTTTTCTTGTTTTACTTCCTGATTGTCACTTTTGGCGCTAGTCAGTTAACTTCGTAAACAAATAATAAAACAAAAAATAAAAACTCTGTCTCTATAGTGGATTCACAAATCATATGTGTGAAATGAACAGGATCATCCCATGATCTCCATGTTATATAAATATATGTTAATGCTTAACATGAAAGGTGGCAGGGTTTGAATACATGAATTTCCCTGACATTTACTGCTTGCAGTTTGTGTTCGTGCCACATGGCACAGAAAAGACATTGAGGACTCATGAATACTACGGTACTGATATCAGAGGATTAGGATCATTCTACACAAGAACATTATCATGAGGTAATATTCTACACATGAATATCACAAAAAGTCTATTAGCCAGATCCATCATTTATCACTGCAAACCCCCTTATGAAGACGTGGTCTTTTTATGAACAGCAACTTCATTGGTTTTCATGATGTTTAAAGTGAACTACTGAATGAAAATAAGTACATACACGCTGATTGTGTTTTCCCTATTAGCTTCCTAATTAAGCCTGGCTTCCCCAATACCAGGTTCTCTCAGTACATTAAACCAATACCAGGTATACTATCCAAACAATCTGACTGCATATATACAAATATACATTAGCACAGATTTCTCTAGGATTCTAAGGTTTGTGCCCTTGGCACTGAAAATGGAAAAATATTATTTTGTTCAATTTTTTTTTTTAAAGTTATTATTTTCTTAAATTCAGCTGTATTTTGACATGGTATGCTATGCAATAATGTAAAACTGAGCAATAATGCAAAGTCCTCTATATTGGACCTGTTATCGGTGAAATGAAAGTCACCTCTACAAATCATACTATTAGATATAACTATGACGTCACAGGGGATTTATAAATTCCAATTTGGAACTTTTTACAGACATTGGCAGTGGACTTGAGGCCTAGAAAAATCCCTGATTAGTTCTTTCCTTCACCTGATGAAGGGGCAAGACGTAGCCCCGAAATGTTGTGACAAACGAAAGTTGTTATCCATAAACAGTTTCACGTCTTCACATTCTCCCAACTTCTAAATGCATGTACAAAACATTTAATGTTGCACAATTTCCCTCACCACAGAAAATGGATAAGCATTAGCTAAAAACCATGTCATCATGACGTCCCCAGCAGAGTCTGTCCCACATGCCCTGGTAACAGACCCACTTGCCCCACATCTTCCCGAGGCAAGCATGGCAAGGGAGTTAACTGACTATATAAAAGTCCAGTTTCCACCCTTGCTGAACTAGGCTTAAATTTCTGGGCTCGAATGTAGTGCCACCAGTGGCTAATACGAGTTATGTCCCTTGTATGTCCCTCCTATTGTCCTATCAGATTCCACCTCTCATATCACTTGCATTTGCTTCAAACAAAATGGCAGCGCCTAGTCGAGACAATCTGACCGATAATCAATGTCTGTATTGTAATTACGCAGGTCTTACCTCGTGAAGTGCACCAAATTGCGTCAGCTCCTTGATTAAAAAGATGAAAAGATTTGGGAAATATCTGTTGACACTGAACTGACGGTACACCTGCTTTACAAATCCCGCCATCGACAGAAATCTGCACGGCTGCTTACAAACAATATGATGATTTCGTTTCGATTTTGACTGGACTATGCAAAGACTTGTAAGTCCAGCAAAAATATACCTCCAGACTAGTTCGGCAGGGGTGGCAACTCCTGCTCTTTTGCCTCGGGAAGAAACATGTCCCATGGTTGGTTAATAAAAAGAATGAAGACCCATAACACATCACCTCATTTGTAAGACCACAAAATGTAGTATTTCAATAACATGGCTGCACACAGCACTGAACACAGGAACAACAATCTATTAATGTACTACACACTTGATAACCTGCAGCTCAAACCAAAAATGGTAGACACAAAAATGGTTTAGATCAACAATAAACCAAGACTCAGTCTGAATGTACTAGATGTTAACAAAGAATCTTGATTCACTGTTGTTAGTGATTAGAAATACAGGATCAACCTCAGATCAACAGATCCTGGAACACCAAAGGGATGCAACTCTACAGTGTGATAAAAGGTGCCTTGGACCCCTGGGTCTTCCATAACAATATAATGACGAGTAAGATAAATTAAATGAATAACTCCTATTGAATAAATCTAAAGGAATTATAGGCCATACTAAATTTTTAGATTTTCATCCTAGCCAGACCCACTGCCAAACAGCTCACATCTCTTTATTGTCCCCAAGTACCAAGTGTTGCCTTATTCCTTTACATGATGAAATACACCATACACTTAGTCCCACCAGAAATACAAGCTCCAGGGAATCACATCCCTCCACAATTAATGCAGCGATGCCTTCAACAGTTTGTCTAAAAAAATAGATAAAAAATAAAACATAAAACAAAAAGTGCCCATCCAACTATCTTTAAAAAATGGATGAAAATCTAATATTTTGCTGGCCTTAACAATAAAAGGTTCATACACTGAAATTGACATAGCCATGATAACAGAGACAGTGAATATGGAACAGCGGCCTTTCTAAGTGTACATCAACACCACAGATCATGTCTTCAGATATAACCAAAGTATTGCACTATTTAAACATAATGCTGAAACATTTCACAGCTCCACTGTAATCAAACACAACAATATAGCTCTCTATACAAACCAAATCTGCATCAATACCTTTCATTTCACAAACTGAGAAATTTGTGTTTTAAGGATTTTTGAATTATGGGATAATATACATTCAGATCAAATGAGATCAGTATGTGTTGATACTTGTAATAATTCTTGTGTGTGTACGATTTACCCTTTGCCAAAATGTTCTGATGCCAGAACACCAAAGGTGACTCTTATAAATCACAAAAGTATAGTTGTGTATCATGATAAGTGAGTGAGTTGGGTTTTACGCCGCTTTTAACAGTATTACAGTTATATCATGGCGTGTCAGTTTAATGTGGGAGGAAAGCACGAGGTGATACAGGTTCCAGACATTTACCACTTCGGTGAAACCCACAAGCACGGGTATGGTGCTCACAAACCTAAAACCTAGAAACATAATCGGGGCGAACCAGGATTCAAACCCACAATAAAAGGTTTCTGGCTAGCCCAAGGGACGCAACTCTGCACAGCGAATTGCGGCACCTTAGACGACCCGTGCCCCTGTCTCACGAAGAGTATCATGTATGTATGGATGTATATAAGCATATGGGTATGCCATGATTAGCATGGATGATAACTCATTATTTTTGGATCATGTAAAGGGGTTTTCAAACGACCACAAGCATGACGGACTCAAGTTCACTAAACATGTTTGGTTGTGGTTGTAGTCTATCCCTCAACATTGTAATAGTGCCTTCATACGACAAGCATCAAGTTTTGGTACAGCAAATCGTGTTTCATAGACAATGAATCGTAATACATCATATTCACCACTTGGACAAAGACCTTCAAGCCACTGTTAGTTGAACTAATGTTTTGGTTGGTCCTCTATAATAGCTGCGAGAATCATAAAAATTGGTGTAAAGAATTGGATTACTTTCTCCACCAAACTACTGAGATACACATTTCATGACATGCACAGTGACAGTCCGATCAGAACACAAAATAATAGTGAGCAGACTGTGTGTCAATACATTAGCCTGGATCTGCAATGCTCAGCATTTAATAATACCCATGAGATGTTCTCATCTGTTTCAACAAAACAATATTACAATCATACAGTATTCAACTAGTGTAAAGAATCAAGCTCCAAATTTCATTTCATGATCTATACCATAAAGATCAACCTATAACATTACTCATAATAAACATGACAAAGACAGTGATGAATAAATGATGAATAAATGATGAATAATTCGATCACTGCACAATACTGAAGTGAAAACATGATACAGCAGGAAAATCCTGTCAAAATCCAGACTCACAATCAATGCATGATCAGGAAATCCTGTCAAAAGCCAGACTCACAATCAATGCATGATCAGGAAATCCTGTCAAAAGCCAGACCCACAATCAATGCATGATCAGGAAATCCTGTCAAAAGCCAGACTCACAATCAATGCATGATCAGGAAATCCTGTCAAAAGCCAGACTCATAATCAATGCATGATCAGGAAATCCTGTCAAAAGCCAGACCCACAATCAATGCATGATCAGGAAATCCTGTCAAAAGCCAGACTCACAATCAATGCATGATCAGGAAATCCTGTCAAAAGCCAGACCCACAATCAATGCATGATCAGGAAATCCTGTCAAAAGCCAGACTCACAATCAATGCATGATCAGGAAATCCTGTCAAAAGCCAGACTCACAATCAATGCATGATCAGGAAATCCCGTCAAAAGCCAGACTCACAATCAATGCATGATCAGGAAATCCTGTCAAAAGCCAGACTTACAATCAATGCATGATCAGGAAATCCTGTCAAAAGCCAGACTCACAATCAATGCATGATCAGGAAATCCTGTCAAAAGCCAGACTTACAATCAATGCATGATCAGGAAATCCTGTCAAAAGCCAGACCCACAATCAATGCATGATCAGGAAATCCCGTCAAAAGCCAGACTCACAATCAATGCATGATCAGGAAATCCTGTTAAAAGCCAGACTCACAATCTATGCATGATCAGGAAATCCTGTCAAAAGCCAGACTCACAATCAATGCATGATCAGGAAATCCTGTCAAAAGCCAGACTCACAATCAATGCATGATCAGGAAATCCTGTCAAAAGCCAGACTCACAATCAATGCATGATCAGGAAATCCTGTCAAAAGCCAGACTCACAATCAATGCATGATCAGGAAATATAAATAATAATTAAAATCTACAATTAACAAGAAATGATAAAACTATTGCCATGATAGCCACGTGCAGCAAGGTCTTGATGCTAGTCTGACTATCTGTGAAAGACAAAAGTATGGAATTGCTCTATGACCATGACAACCAGCTGATAACAATTTTTAGTCACTGTTACAGAAGCTACATCAGTAATAGCAATGCATCATGCAGAGAATAACATCGATTAAGTTTCAGTGACCATCTCATTAAAATGAGATCTTCATTTTCGCTATCACAAAACAAAGGTCTGAGGACATCCCATTACGGGTCATGTCAGTACACCTTTCATCCGACCAAACAGCATCGCTTACCCCTTGTGGGAAAATGACAATTGGAAAGTGTTTTTTAATCATGCAACCTCGAAATGATTGAAACGGGAAATTCTGACACAGTAGAGACTATCCATAGCCCATGGCAAGTACTGCCATATAATCTTGGCCACCTATGGGAAAATCCAGAGTTTTCTTTTGTTCAGCTTTCATATTTTGAATGGCAAACTTTGTGAAAATATTTTTGATTCATTTAACATGTGTTTAATATTATATTGTTCTGGAAAGGGAGTCACCAGTATGAAACTGGTGCCATAAAGCTGCTTTCTGATCGAATAATTTCGACTTCTTGTTAGTAATTTCATTGGTCAGTTAAAGTTTGCAAAAGGTCATTCTCACGTGACCTGTAATGGGATGTTCTCAGATCTTTGTGTAGCGGTAGCAAGAACAAACATCTGATTTTAAATAAGATTGTTCCATTGATGGCTAAAATATCTAGTAGCCTATAGAAGTAACATGGGAGATAATGTCAGAAAAACTGCAATTACTGGATAATCTTAACTAGTTATTATCCCACAGATTACAGCTTTACCACAGAAAGTACATATATCTATCCTGTATATTAGATGCCATTCCGGAGACAATTCTCCACCTGTGTTCATGTTATGTATGAAGTAAGCAGTGTTTAAAATTAAGTTGAGGGGTCCATGCCATAAATGTTAAAAGGTAAAGATTAGGGGGTCCCTAGATTCAGGAACCTGCTTATGAGATTAAGATTAGGGGTCCTCAGGTTCAGTTCCCTTGTTATAAGGTTAAGATTAGGGGGTCACTAGATTCAAGTACCTGGTTATAAGGTTAAGATTAGGGGGTCACTAGATTCACTTACCTGGTTATAAGGTTAAGATTAGGGGTCCTCAGGTTCAGGTCCCTTGTTATAAGGTTAAGATTAGGGGGTCACTAGATTCAAGTACCTGGTTATAAGGTTAAGATAAGGGGGTCACTAGATTCAGGTCCCTCGTTATAAGGTTAAGATTAGGGGGTCACTAGATTCAAGTACCTGGTTATAAGGTTAAGATTAGGGGGTCACTAGATTCAGGTCCCTCGTTATAAGGTTAAGATTAGGGGTCCCTTGATTTACGTACCTGGTTATAAGGTTAAGATTAGGGGGTCACTAGATTCAGGCCCCTCGTTAAAAGATTAAGATTAGGGGTCACTAGATTCAAGTACCTGGTTATAAGGTTAAGATTAGGGGGTCACTAGATTCACGTACCTGGTTATAAGGTTAACATTAGGGGTCCCTAGATTCAGGAACCTGCTTATGAGATTAAGATTAGGGGTCCTCAGGTTCAGGTCCCTTGTTATAAGGTTAACATTAGGGGTCCCTTGATTCCCGTACCTGGTTATAAGGGTAAGATTAGGGGGTCACTAGATTCAGGCCCCTCGTTATAAGGTTAAGATTAGGGGGTCACTAGATTCAGGTCCCTCGTTAAAAGATTAAGATTAGGGTGTTCCTAGATTCAGGCCCCTCGTTATAAGGTTAAGATTAGGGGGTCACTAGATTCAGGTCCCTCGTTAAAAGATTAAGATTAGGGGGTTCCTAGATTCAGGCCCCTCGTTATAAGGTTAAGATTAGGGGGTCACTAGATTCAGGTCCCTCGTTAAAAGATTAAGATTAGGGGGTTCCTAGATTCAGGCCCCTCGTTATAAGGTTAAGATTAGGGGGTCACTAGATTCAGGTCCCTCGTTATAAGGTTAAGATTAGGGGGTCACTAGATTCAGGTCCCTCATTATAAGGTTAAGATTAGGGGGTCACTAGATTCAGGTCCCTCATTATAAGGTTAAGATTAGGGGGTCACTAGATTCAGGTCCCTCGTTAAAAGATTAGGATTGGGGGGTTCCTAGATCATGAGATTCAGGTCCCTCATTATAAGGTTAAGATTAGGGGGTCACTAGATTCAGGTCCCTCATTATAAGATTAAGATTAGGGGTCACTAGATTCAGGTACCATAGGAGCAACTTCAAGGACCCCAGGAACCCCTCAATTGTGAACACTGAGTAAGGAAAACAGGGATAGCCACCAATCACTGTAGGGCAATCTACTGATAACATTAGTTGCAAGTTTGAGAAAACTCTTGATCCTGTTGCACGCATGTTGGAATGTTACATGGAGAATATGAGGGACTCCACATGGCAGTACTCCAGCCAACCATTTGTCTGCAACTACCCATCTGCTGGTATCTCACACCAACTGTCTGTCAGTTCCGGTGCAAATGTTTCACAGCAATGTGTGATCTACAACTATCCATCTGTGATCTGCAACTATCCATCTGTGATCTGCAACTATCCATCTGTCATCTGCAACTATCCATCTGTGATCTGCAACTATCAGTCTGTGATCTGCAACTATCCTTCCATGATCTGTAACTAACCATCTCTGATCTGCAACTATCCATCCGTGATCTGCAACTATCCATCTGTGGTCTGCAACTATCCATCCATGATCTGTAACTAACCATCTGTGATCTGCAACTATCAGTCTGTGATCTGTAACTATCCATCTGTGATCTGCAACTACCCATCTATGATCTGCAACTATCCACAGATACCAGTCTGCAACTTGAACCACTAGTCTGAAGCCCGAGTAGTTCAGCTCACAGTAGCCCATATATTAAAATTACCATTGTCAGAAAATGATGTAGAGACACAAGTTCAGGCTAGAAGACTCAAAAAGTTGTTGCCAGAGACTCTTCTACTTCTTGCCTGGAGCCATGAGGCCATGGAACATGTGGAAAGCTATTTAAAATGTCGCCAATAAATGAGTTTGGGCTAGTAGGGTTTTGGCACAGACTGAGATACTATTGAGTCCTGTCTACACATGTCTATCACTTCTGGTCAGCCTCTATGTCCATATTGTTAATCAATGTGGCTTTCATCTCGGTGTCGCTAGTTGTCCTCGCCCGCACAGCCATCTCATTTCGGTCACCTCTGTAATAATAGAATAATGATCATGTTAACCCCTTAATCCCATGTAGTTCTCTACCTATACATAAACATGTTGCCTCCTTACTATGCCATGAGACCTGTGAAGATCCGGGGTAGAATAGGTCTTCAGCAACCCATGCTTGGTTGATGTATGTCATCGTTTCCCAATTACGTGGATCAATGCTCTTGATGTCAATCACTGGATTGTCTGGTCCAATCTTGATTATTTACAGACCACCGTCATACAGCTGGAATATTGCTGAGCGCAGTGTTAAACAACAAACAAACATACTATTAAGGCATGAGGAAGCTGCACCATATCTTCCTACAGGCAAGGACCGCCTCCGTGGTCTTGTGGTAGAGCGTCCGCCCGGAGAGCGGAAGGTCCAGGGTTCGATCCCGGGCCGCGTCATACAAAAAGACGTTAAAAGATTGTACTTGTTGTTACCCTGTCTGGCGCTCGGCATTAAGGGGCTAAAACAAGGACTGGTCGGCTCGGAGTCAGTATACTGTGTCTGAGTGGGGTATTCATGTTAAACTGCGGCATGGTATCTCAGTGAGCTAGCACTATAAATCAGCATCAGTCCGGACTAGTACAAGCAGCCACACACACACATACACGTGCATGCACGTCGCTATATAAGTGCAATAATCTTGGACGCGACGTTAAACCCAATTTCACCTCACCTCACCTCCTACAGGCAAGACAACCTGTATGTGGCAACCCTGCCAGTGTCTCGCCACAAAATTATTGATTTAAGTGTGTGCATTTCTTGTTTAACGGCAATATTCCAGCCATATGATGCTGGCCTGTAAATAATCGTGTCTGGACCAGAAGATCCAGTGATAGGCATTATGAGCATCAATCCATGTAATTGGGATACAATGAGTGAGTGAGTGAGTTTAGTTTTACGCCGCTTTTAGACCCGGGTCTTCGGCGTGACGAGTTTGACCACCCAATCCTGTTTGTCGCTAGTTATGACAAGCATGGGTAGCTGAACACCAACTCTAACCTGGATGTACATGGGACCATGGACCAGGAAATCCAGGGATTGATATAATGAGCAACGATCCATACCGTCAAGGTTCCATGACATGCCATCAACTAAGCCACAGAGCCTGACAACTTCATCCATTCCTCATTTTTTTTCAACCAGGAATCCGTATGGGTTCTCAATTTAGTCGCCTCTTTCAGTGAGTGAGTGAGTTAAGATTTAACGTCACATCGGCAGTATTTCAGCCATATCGTGACGAGAAGTACATTAATAATACATCAATGTATACAATATAAAAAGCTGTCAATGAAGGACAGTACAATAACTAGAATATCACAGAATCTATTTAAAACTAGTTGAGAATATATAAAAGTCATAAGTATCAGAGAACAACACAATATAAAAATGGGCTAGAGATCGCCAGCAGATGAAGGTAGATCACCATGCTAGGGTCCATGGGGACTTACAGTACCTTTGCTTCCTGCATGGACCCCGGCAGGATTTATATCATCCCTTCAGTCACTTAGTCGCCTCTTTCAACTAGCTATGGGGTGCTTGGGGCACATTCTACCCTAGGTCCCAACAGGGATTTATTCAAATACAATAGCACAAAGATTGATATAAACATGATAAATACTGCAGTGTTTGAAATTACTAGGTAGTGTCTTATTGATTTTTAACAATAGCACAAACACCCTGTAATGATGAACACTGCAATATTCATATGAATCTGAATCTATGAACATGGGGAACACTGGTCACTTGAACAGCTCTCTGGCAGAGACTGCCTCCTGTCAAAATCTGCCCTTTTCTATGTACAATCTGTGACTTTAACCACTGATCCCAAGCCCTAGACTAGTAGAATGTCTTTGAGTCTAGTTCATAAGTTATTATACATAATATATCAACAGTAGCATCTACTAACAATGATGTGAAGGGGCTCCCTCCTGGCTAAAGTAGGTGCCCACAGCAGCCTCAGTAAAATTTGCCTATTTCCTGTACTTATAGTCTATGTATGACTTTAGCCACAAGTCGCAAGCCCTAGCTGAGTTAAACTCCTTTGGGTAAGCCCAGCCAATAGCAATCCACATAATATTATTTTAAATTTTACAATAAATTGAATATTTATTATACTTATCCTATCTCAAACTATGGAAAAGCTTAAAACATTATTATTATTATCATTATCATGATTATTGTTATTATTATTATTACTGCTACTAACATCTTGTGAAAATGATCAGATTAGAAGTTATTGGCAGAGACTATACTTACTTCTTGCCTAGTGCCATCAAGCCATAGAAGACAGCAGTGGCCATAATGAGAGCACACGACAACAGCTGCGTCAGGGTAAAACATAGGGCAATCGGAACTACCGCACATCTGAAACAAGAGAACTCTAATACAGGCTCAACTCTACATTGAGGAGTCGGCGAATTTGTTTGTTTGTTGTGTAACACCGCACTCAGCAATATTCCAGCACCATGGTGGCTGCCTGAAAACATGGTAAACAATCAAGTCATAAATATGGATCAGTAAGCATGCAGTCTTTCATATGATCCACTTGATCAAAGGCAGAGTCTAGGAAATTTGTGTTTGGTAAGTTACAATGTTGTTGTTTGTTTAACACCGCTTTTAACAGTATACCAGTTATATCACGGCGTGTCAGCTTAATGTGGGAGGAAAGCCTGAAGTGATGCAGGTCTCAGACGGATACCACTTTGGTGAAACCCACAAGCACGGGTATGGTGCTGACAAACCTAGAAACATAACCGGGGTGAAGGGGGATTTGAACCCACAATCATAAGTTTCTGGCCTGGATCTTCACGGGTGTCATGTTGGTAAAACACACGAGTATTACCAACTGACAAACACATACAGGTTAAATCTGGAACTTGAACCAACGACCAGGCACTGAAGTGAGAGTTGTTGGTTCTAATGATAACAATGAACAGGATCAAGGCAAGGGTCACAGCAAGGGACAACCAACGACCAGGCACTGAAGTGAGAGTTGTTGGTTCTAATGATAACAATGAACAGGATCAAGGCAAGGGTCACAGCAAGGGACAACCAACGACCAGGCACTGAAGTGAGAGTTGTTGGTTCAGATGATATCAATGAACAGGATAAAGGCAAGGGTCACAGCAAGGGACAACCAACGACCAGGCACTGAAGTGAGAGTTGTTGGTTCAGATGATAACAATGAACAGGATCAAGGCAAGGGACACAGCAAGGGACAACCAACGACCAGGCACTGAAGTGAGAGTTGTTGATTCAGATGATAACAATGAACAGGATCAAAACAAGGGACACAGCAAGGGACAACCAACGACCAGGCACTGAAGTGAAAGTTGTTGGTTCAGATGATATCAATGAACAGGATCAAAGCAAGGGTCACAGCAAGGGACAACCAACGACCAGGCACTGAAGTGAGAGTTGTTGGTTCAGATGATAACAATGAACAGGATGAAGGCAAGGGTCACAGCAAGGGACAACCAACGACCAGGCACTGAAGTGAGAGTTGTTGGTTCAGATGATAACAATGAACAGCATCAAGGCAAGGGACATAGCAAGGGACAACCAACGACCAGGCACTGAAGTGAGAGTTGTTGGTTCAGATGATAACAATGAACAGGATCAAGGCAAGGGACACAGCAAGGGACAACCAACGACCAGGCACTGAAGTGAGAGTTGTTGGTTCAGATGATAACAATGAACAGGATCAAGGCAAGGGTCACAGCAAGGGACAACCAACGACCAGGCACTGAAGTGAGAGTTGTTGGTTCAGATGATAACAATGAACAGGATCAAGGCAAGGGTCACAGCAAGGGACAACCAACGACCAGGCACTGAAGTGAGAGTTGTTGGTTCAGATGATAACAATGAACAGGATCAAGGCAAGGGTCACAGCAAGGGACAACCAACGACCAGGCACTGAAGTGAGAGTTGTTGGTTCAGATGATAACAATGAACAGGATAAAGGCAAGGGACACAGCAGGGGACAACCAAGGACCAGGCACTGAAGTGAAAGTTGTTGATTCAGGGACACAGCAAGGGATTCATCTTGGATTATTCAACAAATCCTTGCTGGGCTAATTGGGAATAGGTGAAAGTCTTATTTCCTTAAATTCAGAAGATATTTTAGCATTGGATTTAAAGCAATAATGCTAAGTATTGTAAGCATCAACTTCATTTAAAACCTACTATCATTGAGATTTTACATGTTCAATAACCAGTGCAAAACCAAAACATGATGACTAGAAAAAAATTACCATCACATAATATGGGAAATTATGAAGGCAAAAAAAACCCTTCATCAACATTTGTCACAGATTGTTGCCTCAAAACCTCAATAACTCCCTGACATCTGTAAAAATAAACCAGTGAACGTAATTTTTAGTTATTTCACAAAGGAAAGACGGGTGTTCTATAATTATGATTACGATTATGTTTAAGGGTGTCTTACACGCCATATAGTATAGCTTTCTGAAGATGTGGCCTAGCATCGGACCAGCGTCCCAGCGGCTGAATGAAGTCCAGGAAAGGGCAGCAGCACGGTGCCTCCAGGGCTATCAGCATGCACCCAATCATCCTGAAACATGCAAAACACGAACTGCATGAACATGATGAGGGGCTTCACGTGTGGGTACGCAGAGATTATGAGCCAAGTTTGTTTTTGTATCATACCAGTACATATATATTTGGAATACAAAATGTATTTCATCATGTTCATAGGGTAAAAATATCATTTAATCATATATCCTTATCCTGACTCATTCTATAATTGCTTTTCTCTTCTCATTTCCGAAAGGTAGTGGAAACTTCCTGTGCATTGTTCCCCTTAGAACACAAAAAACACCTCACCCGAAAACACCCTTGTCCCGTGCAGATTCACTGGAACCACAATACCAATCTGGTTCACTTTCACTGTCTAATTTTCACTCTCTGATTTTCTTGCCAACGGGCTAGTTGGGATTTTTGTGTGTTCCGTATTCCAAGCCATTCTGTCAAAATTAACCTTGGGTGTCCCGGATAGGGCGTCTAAAGTACATTTGTCTGTGAGATCGAACATGAATTCGTAGGAGTCAGGATAAGGTAAAATATGTATTATGCAAACCATTGGAGGGAGTAATATATCTTCTTAAAAAGATAACATATGGTAACTACATCAAGGGTAATAATCTCTTTTCCATGTTTATCATATACATGTAATGTCCTTTTTAAAAAAATATCAAATAAATAAATTCATTTTTTTAGTTTAATCTTTCAACGCCTACTAACGGATAACTGAAACCTGATTGGCTGATAATAGAATGGAGGAGCTTCTGTCCCATTGTTGCTGAGATCGATGTCAACGGATTTCGTACCATCAACATTTTGTTTATGTTAATGATTAAATAATCAGTGAAGTTATTCTTGTTGACTTATTTATTAATAAACAATAAATTAAAAAACGTGTATGAATACAATGCTTAAGTGAACTGTACCATGTATTATACAAGACCATAAGATTTGCTGCCATATTTTTCAACCATGTCTACAGAATCACCTACCCATTGGAAAACCTTAATTATTTATTGGGAACATCAGTCAAACGTTTACTGAACAAGCAGACATTGCATTTAGGTATGGAGCCAAAAAGTAGTTCCAGCTAGATGACCTCATTTGCTTATTTATTGAATCGTGATACAGTGATCCCTCGCTACAACGCTACCATCGGGGTCCAAATAATTGATGAGCGTTATAGATGATCAGCCGTTTAACGAAGGTCGAATCGTAGGTGGTAGATGACCAACAAAACAGTATACATGCTCTGCCTACCTAACGTTGCACTTTCAGAGTTTCAAAAAACATTAGAATATTTTTTGTACCTAGTTTAACTCATTTGTTGATCTCATTAATAAATCTATCCACAATAAGATGACATGGTCGAATGACTCAGTCTGATAACCCACCGAGAATAATCATTATAATTTTGTATACATGTACCACATTTCAGGGTCATGAACGCCATACCACTTAAACTTTAACGAAACAGTCTGTTGTCCACTAGTGAGTGAGTATGGTTTTACGCCGCTTTTAGCAATATTCCAGCAATATCACGGCGGAGGACACCAGAAATGGGCTTCACACATTGTACCCATGTCGGGAATCGAACCCGGGTCTTCGGCGTGACGAGCAAACGCTTTAACCTCTAGGCTACTCGACCGCCCCTGTTGTCCACTAAATGATCCAACCTTATTCTACATCATACTTTTCAGCATGATCAGCACTACATTTCTAAAAAGTATTTTAATCAAATAGAGTACAATACAGCAATGGATATAGCGATTAACATAACAAAATGCCTACAATTGGTTCTCAGGCAATAAAACATAATATAATTATGCATTAAGGCAGCCTAATTGTCAGTAAATGTGGTGAAGTGTGTTATATCATTGATTAGGGGTTACACGTTTCACTATAGCATGTGAATGGGCTTTCAAGTTACCATGGTTACAAAGACTTATTTTAGGGGAAAAAGTGTATGATAATATTAATAATGTGGAGAAAATCAATCTAGTGACTGCCATCAAACTTTCAACAAGGTAACTCACAATGACATTCTCAGAATGTGTCATCACAATACATTATGAGTGAGTGAGTGAGTATGGTTTTACGCTGTTTTTAGCAATATTCCAGCAATATCACGGCGGGGGACAACAGAAATGGGCTTCACACATTGTACCCATGTCAGGAATCGAACCTGGGTCTTCGGTGTGACTAGTGAACGCTTTAACCACTAAGCTACCCAACTGCCCCTAATAAATTATGACATTATGACATAAAATTTCTATAAAGACAATTATGAACTTGTATTTCTTCTGATTATTGTCTAGGAGCAGAAATAAATATTCTCCATATTTCGGTGTTCACAAGAAACACGGAAATATAACATAATACAAGCAGTATTTTTTCAAAATGTCCTGCATTAATATCAGACAGGGCTCAATTTAGCTCCATAAAACATGCACTGTTGCAAACCTACCATTGCAAAATTGCAACGTAATATTGATGTCTAGATGAACCAAGTACATGTCAAAACTTTTGTGTCAGCACAAAATTGATCTTTGAACACACTCAGCACCTCTAAATTGTACTTACAATACTACAGCACTAGTCACTGTGTAATGTATTTTTGTCATGCTGTCTTCGGTGACGTGATCAAACTTTGGGTACTTCAAGATGTACACGTTCCTATTCTGTTTTACAGCAATGTGACAGGGGCAGCTGACCAGCCTATATTTTAACTTTAAATAAATTTACGGGACCAGGGTGTATCCTGGTTTTGTTTGGCGCAACTCGGTTTTCATGTCAACACTGCACCTAGTTAGTTAAATCGAGTTCTTTAAAACGAGCCCTGTTAGACAAGACATAAGAAGCCGTTCCTCAGATCATGATACTAGTATCTCATTTGTTTGTTCTTGTTGCTTAAAGCCCCACTCAGCAGTATTCCAGCTATATCATGTAAATGACGTAAGCCTGTTAATACCTCTTACTACCAGCATAGGTTGCTGAGGACCTGTTCTAACCCGAAAACCTATGGACTCTCCACATAAAGCATGTAATGCGATGATTAGAGAGTAATAACTGAACTACAAGGAACTGCGGACTATCTTCCCCGAGTGAATGATTGGTGAAAGTCTCAAGATTTTGGTGAGTTAATCTGTAATTTTGAGTATTGAGCATGTTGAGTAGTTTCATCAATACTCACCGCCAAAAGAAGTGGGAATACCATAAATGTTGGTTAATATCCATATATGAACAATTATTCATATTCAAGAGATATTAGAGGCGACTAACAGGACTTGGTTGATGCATGTCATCGTTTCCCAAATGTGTGGATCGATGTTCATAATGTCAATCACTGGATTGTCTGGTCCAGACTCTATTATTTACAGACCGTTGTCATATAGCGGGAATATTGCAAATGAATAAGCAGTATATTGTATCACCATGATCACTCCACAGTGATTTTATTTGAGAAAGATTTCTACCATGTCTAGCATGTGTTCAGCATTTGGTCTTTTCAGAAATAATTCATTATTCAACGTGTTCAAATGTTAGACTGTGTTATGCAATATACTTGAGTTTTAATTATCGGTTAAGATATTTGCCGGACGCTGATATAGAATTATCACATATATATGTGATATGTTTGTAAAAATTAACAATTCTGGTTTGACAAAGTCCCTGCTTACATTTGATGACAAAATGTTCAGCTGTACGAGAAATCCATGACATGATTGACATACACATTATATATACAGATATATATAACAATGGTTTACATGAGGTACATGTACTTACATCAATATAACAGCTGCTGCCAAACATATTGGCGTAAATGTAAAGCAATTCATTACTCCAATGATAAGTGCCGCTGAAACAAAGAAAAGCACTTCAGACACATACATGACATAGGCAGATGTTAGGTAGGTAACGAGACAATGTCAATCACTGAGACATTAACCAAATAGCCCAATCACTGAGCATGTTGCAAAACTGCCTTGCTCAAATTACCCTACAGTGCTTGAAGGCATCAGATTGACAATATTATATCTGTCACAGACGAATTCTGCAGCAAAAATGACAAAATTCAGCAGTAAAAACACCCATTTTCACCTAAAAAACTCCTTATTTTGAAAACTAGAATCCAAATCGGAAACAAAATAATAAACAGTTTATATTGGATAAGACATACAATTATGCAAACAAATATGCACAATGCCACTGATCATGCTGCTATGTATTGATGGTTAGACGTAAACACAGGTTTTGTAGTAATAATACCACAAGAACGTTCAGTTGTTCAATGTTTGGGCATCTTTCAAGTGCAAATAGGCTTGAAAATAATGAAAATTAGTGTACTGATTGATAACCAAACTCAACATCCATGATTTTTCTGCAATTCTGAGGGAAGAAACATTTTCTGCAACTTTTTCCGTAATTGCAGACTTCGTCTTGGCCTGAATATACCTGATGTACAATGTTTAGGCAGAGAATAAAATGTCAAGGTTCCTGTTCATAGAGGCGTTGCCTCTTATTAACATGAACTTGGGTGAGTGAGTGAGTGAGTATGGTTTTACGCCGCTTTTACTTTTTAGCAACATTCCAGCAATATCACGGCGGCGGACACCAGAAATGCGCTTCACACATTGTACAAGTCGGGAAGAGAACCAGCTTCCTCGTGTACGTCTCACTGTTGTAGTCTATTACAGGCTAGGGTATCTGCTCACCACCTTCCAACCGTGGGATAAATGTATGGTGAGATGATTGTGAGAAAGATTTGTTTTGGTGGTGACCATAGCGATGCTGGGATGTGTTCGGGTGAATTGTTTTTAGAAGTTGGAAACTTTATTCAAGCATGTTTCCAAATAGAAACAAAGAAGAAAGAAGAAATGCATAGTGTGAGATAGGATACATTAAAATTTTTACAGTTTTCCTACAGAAATACAGCCTTATGAAGTATGATATTACGCAATCAACAAGAGCTGATAACCGTTTTAAATTCTGAGGCTTACCAAGGAGAGAAGTCTTAAACCTTTATCAACACGTGTTGACATGATATTGAAAGTCACAAGGGTGAGATTCTGTTTATCATCCAAAATCATTCTTCCATCTTGTCCAGTTTGTTAACAGTAATAATAGTGTCTTGAGTCTTTGAGTGCAGAACATACAGCTTCAGAGGCAGAGAGATAAGTGATGTAATTTTCAACTAAAATAATTTAATTCAGAATTATTTCATCCACAAATTTTGGTTATTCTTAGATATGCTAAACACAATGTTATGAAACAACCAAAGGGCTACAACAATACGAGGTTATGAAATGACACAAATGATACAAAATTACTGGGTCACAAAATGACCTGATAACGAGATCCCTTGTGTGAACAACCAAGGAGTAATGATTAGGTGTGTGGATAGCGACAGTGATCAGTGTCTCATCAGGGAGTAGTAACTGGGATAATTAAGACACTGAAAAATAAACATAATTAATAAAATAAAATAAAAATAAATCTAGTTAGAACATGTCTATTTCAAACCTGTTACCAAAATGCGAAGAATCTTTGGCATTTGTTGGGAGGTCTCGCATCTGCCAGACTGATCGTTTACCACACAAAAAAACATCTACTAGGTAGGGCTGGGACGGGTAACTCGGGTATCCGGGTCGGGTGGGTACTGAGTAGGACCCGGGTACCATCAGGACTACCAGGACCCGTGATTAGTCACGTGATAGGCCTATATTGTTTAATGACAAAAATTATCTAGAACTCTATGGTTACACTACAAGTCACTAATGTGTGCATTCCTTCTGATTTTTTATATGGTTGAATAAAGGTATAACTTAATTCAACTTCAGTGTATGAATGACCAGATTGTTTAATACATGTATCTAAATACGTTTTGCCAGGGATATGCTATAAAAGTTCCCAATCAGACATTTTGAGACATCTCCTGAGACCTACAGTGGGTACCCGGGTAGGGTCGGGTAATAGGGCGTTGGGTACCCGGATAGTAAATTTGGACTCGTCCCAGCCCTACTAGGCTATAGTATGAAAACAACACTATTTTTCGTCCTTTCTTTCTATCTCAAAACTTGCAATCCCATCAAATCGAATAGTGCGTTGTATCTCAATACATAAACAAGCAAGGGCAAACCTACAAACAATTTCAAAGGTTTGAGTCACAGGCTATTTTCATCATAACGTCTGAAAATTAGGCCTAACGCCAATGTCCCTCGATTACATGATCCGGACCTTGGTCCACTGGACCGTCCAGCTCATTTTGATTCTTACACAAGCCGGCCGCTACTCCTGCCCCTTTGGCGACGAGCTTACACCACCACGACGGTCCATCGTTTGCCTCTCCTGGTCCCCCAGGAACGGGAGCGGGGTTCGCGCTTCCAGTCTGTCCCATTCTTCTCAAATATGAGCTGTCATCTCATGATCGTCTGTCACAGATCAACGTGGACGATGTTGTTATTTTAATAAGAACACTTCCGATTTCAATGCGCATGCGCACAATGTTGATTAGCCATCAAGAGTTGTCTCCCATCGAACGCACTTGTTCAAGCTCGTTCCCAGCGCGTGGCACCTTCGTTTCACTCCAGGAAACATCGCGATAGCTCGGCGAAGAGGCTATCGCTTTTCATTTGCTGACGCTCCATCCCAGAGTGTGACGCATCTCAAACCTCATCCTAACGACATTTTGTCCAATATTGAAAAGTCTTTAGTTTCATAGTTACAAACAATTTATAGATCTAAGTGAAGTTTGATTAACCTTGCCTAAAGTTTTCTTCACTTCAGTATCCACGAACGGGATCGGGTGATCGGGCTCGCTGACGTGGTTGATGCATGTCATCGTATCCAAATTTGCTTAAGTCGATGCTCATGATGTCAATCACTGGATTGTCTTGTCCAGACTCGATTAGAATCTATTTTCAGACCGCCGTCATATGGCTGTAATACTGCCGGCTTCAAACAACAAACAAACAAATTTCAATATAACTGAAAGAGAAATATAATTAATCTTACCTCGATAAAAACCTGGGTTCGATTCCAAAGATTGGTACAACTAAACCCATTCTTGGTGGCAGCCACCGTGAAATCAGAGACCATGCAATTACCGGTATGGTAAAATATATACGATATTGTAAATTGTAAGAAGCCCCGACTGCTGAAGGCGCCGTAAAACATTAGGCAGGCAGATTACCAAAAATTAACAGAAAAAAAGCAAAAACAAAAATTCCGAATCAAGAAAGTAGTTCAGTTTTGTACCTGACAGAGGAGGCGATCGAGGTTCGTCCAGCCGATATTTTACATATAGGCCTAGCTGGTTCATCCACTGGGGGGATTCCGGGTTGTAACAGGTCTCCAACAACCTATGCTGGTCGAAGTTTGTTTTGTTTGTTTGTTGTTTAACGCCGCACTCAGCAATAGTCCAGCTATATGACGGCGGTCTGTAAATTATCAAGTCTTGACCAGACAATCCAGTGATTGACATCATGAGCATCGATCAACGCAATTTGGATCGATGACATGCATCAACCAAGCCAGCGAGCCTGACCACCCGATCCCGTTAGTCGCCTCTTACGACAAGCATAGTCGCCTTTTACGGCAAGCATGGGTTGCTGAAGACCTATTCTACCCCGGAACTTCACGGAGGGACATAGAAGGGACATAACTCGTAATAGCCACTGGTGGCGCTACGATCGAGCCCAGTAATTCCAGCCTAGTTCGGCGAGGGTGGAAACTAGATTTTTATAGTGCTAACCCACTGAGATACCATGCCGCAATTTAACATGGATATACCACACTCAAACACATGCTGACTCCGAGCCGACCAGTCCTTGTTTTATCCCTTCAATGCCGAGCGCCAGTCAGGGTAACAACAAGTATCATGTTTTAATGTCTGGGCATCGAACCACTGACCTTCCGCTCTCCGGGAAAACGCTCTATCCACTTATTAACAGATGCGGTCCAACTCTTCTACCAGCTACCTGCATGTGCTTCGCTTGGTGATTGAGTTGGGTTTTCCCTACGTTTAGCATTATTCCATTCATAAAACGGCCGGGTACACCATTCACACATTTTGCCTATGTTAGAACTCGAAAACCCGGGCCTTCGGCGTGCCGAACCAACGCTTTAACCACTAATCTACCCACTGGTAAAAACGACCTTTAAAATTAAGTTGGCTTAGTCGTTTTAGACTATAGTATTTATAGCCGCAAATGGCAAATAAGGTTTGAAGCGTTGTATATTTCACGCAGATATTCGCCGGATTTGTTATAATACCTGATATCATGGTTAGTGGTTAAACCAACCGGGGCTCACATCCGTTGCACGAGTTTTTAATGTGCGTTGAATGACAGCAGAAGGGCGCATATTTATATAAATCAATAACTTCACCGAAACCACCCGTTAGAATAGGTCTTCTAAGCTACCCATGCTTGCTGTAAAAGGCGACTATGCTTGTCGTAAGAGGCGATTAACGGGACCGTGTAGTCAGGCTCGTTCACTTGGTTTGATGCATATCATCTTAATACGATTGCATAGATCGATGCTCATGTTATCAACCACTGGATTGTCTGGTCCACACTCGTTTATTTACAGACCGCCGTCATAAAGCTTTAATATTGCTGAGTGCGGCATTAAAAAACAAACAAACAAACATAAACGAGCAGATTCCACCCCAGCAACCCAGCATCTGTTGTCCGTGCACAGACAGATCCGTGGACATCCGGGTTAGAATAGGCCTTCAGCAACCAATGCTTGCAACTATGCATGTCATAAGAGGCGACTAACAATATGGGCCCACTTGCACAAAGCGATCTTAGCGCTAAGATTATTGTAAGCCTATGTTAAAGTATGGGATTTACGATCATCTTAGCGCTAAGATCGCTTTGTGAAAGTGGGCCCAGGTAGTCAACCTCGCTGACTTGGTTGACGCATGTCAATGTATCCAAATTGGGTAGAACAATGCTCATGATGTCAGTCACTGGATTGTCTGGTTCGGCGTTAAACAACAAAAAAGGAACAAATCTTACGGCAAGCGTGGGTTGGTGAAGACCAATCATTCTAACTCGGATCTTCACGAGTCCCTTACTATCAGAGTGTGTGAGTGGTTTTACACCGCATTTATCAATATTCCTGCAACATCACGGCGGGGGACACAAGAAATGGGCTTCACACATTGTACCCATGTGGAGAATCGAAAGCGGGTCTTCGGCGTGACGAGCGAACGCTTTAACCAGTAGGCTACCCGACCGCCCCCACACTATCAGATGTAGAGTATATAAACCGTACCGATAACTAGGAAATTTAAGTAACTTGAACAGTGATCTTAGGTCTTAGAAAGGTATAGATGATAAGATGATTTGACATTGAGGGTGGTCTACGTTCTTTAAAGCTGATAATTGACATAACGACATTAAGTGAGTGAGTATGGTTTTACGCCGCTTTTAGCAATATTCCCGCAATATCACGGCGGGGGACCCCAGAAATGGGCTTCACACATTGTACCCATGTGGAGAATCGAAAGCGGGTCTTCGGCGTGACGAGCGAACGCTTTAACCACTAGGCTACCCGACCGCCCCCACACTATCAGATGTAGAGTATATAAACCGTACCGATAACTAGGAAATTTAAGTAACTTGAACAGTGATCTTAGGTCTTAGAAAGGTATAGATGATAAGATGATTTGACATTGAGGGTGGTCTACGTTCTTTAAAGCTGATAAGTGACATAACGACATTAAGTGAGTGAGTGAGTGAGTGAGTGAGTTTGATGTTACGCCGCTTTTAGCAATATTCCCGCAATATCACGGTGGGAAACACCAGAAATGGGCTTCACACATTGTACCGGGTCTTCGGCGTGACGAGCGTGACGAGACACCGCTCCCGATGGTTCTCGTTTGTGGCTGGATGGTGGTTTGCCTGTGACTTTAATGGTCTCTGGATTTTGTGGCTAGCATGTCCAAAATAGGGGAGGCTGATCACAAAGGGTGCAGATTGTTGACGGGAGGATTTCTGAGTTTTCTTGATGAGCTCTGTATTGTCTGTTGCACTAGTTGTTGGGGGTAGTGGTTGCACAGTGTGAAAACATGTTTGAGATGGTTTAGTTCAGTGGTAAGATGTTGCTTGGTAGAACAGATGTTGTGAGCTCGTCTTGCTCGTCCTGTCTATACTCTGTACATCACTTGCTTGATTACGGTGTTGGAACCTACATCGAAACGCTGCTCCTAATTGTTATAAAGAAGTTGTTCTTTCATATATCTTATCCTTACTTAGTACTCCAACTTCTAAATGCCTCTCAAAGAAGTAACTTAATCCTCACCCGCATGTCATTGGTTTGTCGCATTTTCGCCCATGACATTGATCACTTACGAACCAATCCTGACGAAAGTGAACAGTAGCTATGTGTGTCGAATGAATCCAACAAGTATCACATGATAAAAATGGAGTTCTATGTATGAAAGCAAAGCAGATAGCGAAGCAATTCAATCATTATCAAGTGTTCCACTGCCAAAGCCACCGTTTGGATACATCCAGTCTCAAGGTCTTTCAATTGTACCGGTCGAAAATAAGCATATTTTCAATTGCAATATATTTTGGTTTCCACGAAGAGTAGGGAACGAGCTGCTATGGAAATATCCCCAGCATTCTTCAATGTACATTTTGTAACGTTTTGCGGGAACATGAGAAATCAGAAAGGGGCGTTAATGTATAACCAAAACGTGAAATGAACGTTAATATGACTCTACGATATGGGACCGTTCATCCATCCTTGGTGAACACAACCTCCATAAAAGCAAGCCTCACGGGGCAGAATGTTTGCATTGACGAACTCTGTATTGGCGTATCTAACATTTACCTACCCAATTACGATCCTCCTCTAAACATGCCCGTATGTCTTGTTGGAACTATCAGTTTGGCTCATTACTCGTTTTAAGGTCACCTGATTTAGTCATCTTCTGTAATATGCATTTAAGAACAGTATGACTACATTCAAATGACGTTATCCTCGATTATCCAGAATATAATGACACCACCTATTTATCTATTACGATAATTACCCTTTACCAAATCGCTACCAAGTTTCATTTTGAGTCACTTTTGCTGCTAAAATAACCTTCCGATAATTTCAAACTTATGTGTAACAGATATTCTTGGATGGTACTAATAAATATATCGTGACGTCTCTTCCCAGGCGAAAATATGGTCGCGAATTGTTTCTGTATATTTATCATAACACAATGGGGAAAGTCGACATATTGGAACTGACGAATAAATTTACTTATATGACCAGACCATCACCAGTGTTTAGCATTATTAGTTATGATAAGTTCTCAGCACTCAGCAATATTCCAACTATATGACGGCGGTCTGTAAATAATCAAGTCTGGACAAGCAGTCCAGTGATTGACATCGTGAGCATCGATCCACATAATTGGATCAACCAAGTCAGCGAGCTTGACCAACCGATCCCGTTTATCTCCTCTTACAACAATCATAGTCGCTTTTTACGACAAGCAGGGGTTGCCGAGGACTTATTCTACCCCGGATTTTCACGGGTCAGTTTTGATAAGTACCGAAACATCTGTCCGAACCTTGAAGTGAGATGATGTTATTCCAAATATTAAGTTCCCATGGTAAAATATATACTTTATCTGTATATATCGTGCAATATTCACAGCACATTTATTTCGGTACACATAATCAGTAGTCAGTCCGTAACCAACTGCATGTAACCAACCGGATGTGCACCAGCCCTGCCTTTGTGAAGACTACTGCTGGAACTACTGGAAGACCGGATTGATATATTTCGAGATTAAGTGTCTCCGATCTGACGATCATTACAGAACTGTAATGTTCTTAGAGTAATGATACATGTCATCCTGATATTGCAATAATTTATACAAATCAATAAGAAGAGCAGTGTATCTTGATGAAGGAAAGCGCAGGGAGAGGATAGAGTTTTTAAATTATGAACACCCATCCATCAAGTACAATGTTAGAGAACCTACTTTCAGTGTTCAGATCACATAAAGCGATCTTAGTGCTACTCTGATCGTAAGCCTATGATAAAGTATGGGAGTTACGACCAACTTAGCATGAAGATCGCATTGTGGAACGGGTTCCCGGTGTTTGAATTTGCTCAATCATCTAAGGACAATAGTAAAGTTCCTGTTATAATTGGAATAGATGAGATGGCATGTTTATTGATTGTAAAAGACCTCTTTACATCGTCAATTGTTTGTGCCCAATTATGATAAAAAGGTAATATTGATAGCGAATTTCAGTTACAGCAACGAAAGCATCTCGAATAATCTTGTGCTAAACCCAAATAATATGCCATACGAAGGCCGGGATGCTAAAACCTTGAGACTATGCACTTGCATGTATTTACAAAGTATTTGAATTCCCCAAGGGAAAAGAAGATTCATAAATCTATAAATATTTGAATGATATTGGCCAGACATGTGACCTCTCTTGAACCGACGGCGCATTGTCCTAGAATGCAAAGGGAAGTTTGTTCAATACGTTTTCTTTCACAAGTCCGCAAGCACAGTAACAAAATATACACGTAATTAGTTGAGGTGAGTTTGCCTCATGTGTAAGATCACATGGATTCTATTTTTGGCCCTCTTCTGACATATGATCTCGCAGATAATCTGTGTATCTAAGTGAAAGGGTGTTTAAGCAGGTCTCAGAAATATTGCCCTCAACATATTGCTCACATAATTCTGAACCGATTTAAAACATAATAGACAAAGAAAATAATTGGCTCATTGAATTTAATTCATTGAATTCATTTGTCTACATTTGTGATTTGTGTAAACTTAGTATCTTCTTGCGTTGTCCGTCCGCCCATGTTTTCTGGTGCAAACTCGCTTGACCGGACCGGTATTAAAAAAAACCCTTTCGGGTTGCTGTGCTGGCCATGGCTTGTTATAATTGCCCCTGAATGGTTCCGCCCGGATTGTTATTGTTTCAATATTCCTTGTTTCAAGACCGGGTACTTGATACATGTCTCTACATTCCTGATATGGTATTGGTCGGTACCACTTTCACAATCGCAAAACATCGGTCAAATGTCAGTCATGGTGCTATATTATTATAATGTTATTGTATCAATGCAGTTAACATCTAGACGATGATCTGTTCAGTTGCATATCCAGTCGCCCTTAGGGATTCCAGGTTGGAGTAGGTGGCCGGTAAGAGAGGCTTTTCGAGAGAAACCTTGTTTTTTATTCAGTAATCTACAGTAAACTACGGTTATAGCGAACACGCTTATAACGAACTGACGGATATGACGAACTTACTTTTTTGATCACGACTATTTGCTGTAGTTATGCTGTATATATGCTTATAACGAACAACGGTTATAACGAACTAAAATTAGTAGTCCCTTTGAGTTCGTTATAACCGTAGTTTACTGTATATTATGAACGACGATCCAAGCCGTCGGGGTACGATGGCACGAAATCAACAAAATCACCCACCCTGACCTATCCATTTGGTTGCCTCTTACGACCAGCGTAGGTTGCTGGGGCCTTTTCTAAGTACGAATCCCCATGGGGTGCCTTTCGTAACAGGCGACTTAATATAGCCGTGGATTTGAACTTTGAATGAACTGATGATTATGAATATTGTTCCTGCTGTGTGGATTGTGTGTTTTGTGCATACAGTCCCGGCAAATCACACCCTCCCCATGTTTGTCATTGTGTGAAAGTATTGTATTGGGGTAGCCTAGTGGTTAAATAGTTAGCACCTCACGACTCACGTCCGGGTTCGATTCCCACATACAACGTATGAAACCAATTTTCGGCGTCCCCCGCCGAGAAATTACTGGAATATTGCTAAAAGCGGGGCAAAATCATATTCACTCAGTATGAAAAATTAAAACACTATAAATATTATCACATAAAAAATTGAAACATCTTCTTGAATGATCTGAAAACTCCCCGAGGAGATTTTTTTTGTTTTATAATTCGCATTTAAAAAAAAGAAGAAGTATAAACAGGTGTGTAGAGGAAGGCACAGTTACATTGTCATGAAGCGAAGTACAGTTACGGTAAGATACTTAAGAAGCAATTGGCGATGACACAATAGTTACCAATACAAATATAATACTCCCCGTATTATAGTACTGACATATAAAACTTTTCGTATAACATAACAATATATCTAATTAATATGAAACGCAGATTAAATTCAGTATTCATTTATTTTTAGAAAAAAAAATGAAAGAAAGGTTTTGTTTTCAAGAAGATACAACATTTATGGAGAACCATTTTATTTTCGCAACAAAACATCAACCAACGATTTGATAGCCTTGCTTATTAAAAGCTGCGCATTTCTTTCTGTCAGCCTCTTTTACCATTACCCGTGGTTCCTTAAAAACCATAACCTTCTGTTTTGTCGGGAATTTCTTTTGATATTTCGGCCATTCAGGCAATGTTCCCATGCTATTCGGGTTTCCATATTTGGCAAAGTTTGCCCAGTAGCCAATCATAGTAGAAGACAGTTTCTCATCTCCGGAAGTGACCTCATATCCAATCAATCGAGGCGTATCATAAAGGAAGGGCAAGTCAACCCCGTGACAGGCCTTGTTAACACAGTGGGTAGCCCTTCCCCATGCATCTATCGATAATGGCTGCTCAAAGCGATAAAACCAAACGTTTTTGGATGAGGATAAAATGTCCGCAAACAATTGACTGGGGCATAAAAACATGAAATCTGTGATGACTTCCGATAAAGCTGTGCGCGCATCGCCCCGGACTGTATAATGGTTGGCAATTGCTGAGCTGTTCGGAATGAACATGTTGAGGAAAAATGAAAACAAAAAATTCGGAATTCCGTGTGGTACTGCACCATAAACATATGCAATGCCTTCGTCTGAGGTCGTGCCTATAATAACGTCTTTGTCGATTGAGGCAGTTGCTAAAATTGACAATAAATTCCCTGAAATATTTTTCCCGTCAATAACAGGTCCCCATGCCTGAAACTGCATAGCGGAATTATCGGATATTTGATCTTTTGGTGTAGACCTTTGAGCGTGTAAAACTTTAGCAGCCGATTTCGATTGAAAACAGTGTGTATCTCTGACATTGCAACCGAGCTGTCTGGCAAACAGGTGCACTTGTCTCTCCGCTTCTGTTGCGTTTCTGAAGGGCAAGGCGATGGGTGAACTTTGAATTATTGCGCGTTGAAAGTAGTCCGAGACTGACGGAGAAACTAGATGAACACACACTGATTGGGCACCAGCGCTTTGTCCAAATATGGTAATCTGAAATACAGAAGAGAGAGTTCAGTGCTTCGATCCCAAGAATATGAATTCATCTGTAGAAGTACAAACCTAGCTACAAAACATCATCTTCCCGAGGGAAGGGAGTTAACTGACTGTAAAAGTCCTGTTTCCACCAATGCCGAACTAGGCAGGAATTATATAGTGATATTTGGGCTGGACTAACGAGTCTTTACATAGTCCAATCAAATTCGCGTAACGAACTAGCCATCCGGCTCGTAAACAACATGGTTGTCAACGGTCCGTCGACTGCAGGATTTGCAATGCAGGTGTACAGTCAACTGGACAGATAATTTCCTTATCTTTTCATGTTTTTAATCAATTTGCTCAAATGATTCGCGCACTTCGCGAGGTAAGACCCGTTTTATTACAACAGATCTTGATTATGTTTGAAGCAAATGCAAGTGATATGATAGATGGAATTTGATTGGTCAATAGGAGGGACATGCAAGGGACATAACTCGTAATAGACACTGGTGGCGCTACGATCAAACCTGGAAATTCCAGCTTAGTTCGGCAAGGGTGGAAACAGGATTTTTTTAGCCAGTTGACACCCTTGCCTTGGGAAGATGACAAAACATTGTTTTTTTAAAAATATGACGCATGTCATACATGACCCTCACCTTGCTGTTGTCGCCACCGAAAGCCCGGATGTTATCATGAACCCACTTCAGAGCTAACTGTTGATCAAGCAGGCCGTAATTGCCCCCAACGACTTCGCCATCCACTACTCGAGGTAGAAAACCAAACGCCCCTGAAACAGTTATCATACACTGAAGAAAGTGTCATATTTGTCATACTCTACACTAGCATTATTCCAGCTATATGAGGGGCGGTCGGGTAGCCTAGTGGTTAAAGTGTTCGCTCATCACGCCGAAGACCCGGGTTCGATTCCCGACATGGGTACAATGTGTGAAGCCCATTTCTGGTGTCCCCCGCCGTGATATTGCTGGAATATTGCTAAAAGCGGCGTAAAATCAAATTCACTCACTCACTCCAGCTATATGACGTCGGTCTGTAAAGAATCAAGTCGACCAGACAATCCAGTGATTGATAGTATGATCAACGATCTACTCCGTTGGGATACGATGATACGCAATAATCCAAGTCACCGACTAACCGATCTAATCGCCTCTTATGACTAGCTAAAGAAAATAAGTTGAGCCTCTTAGTAATACTGGCTTACGCATACATCGACCCGAAATTTCACAATGTGGTATAAACCTATTTTATATAACAGCGGCATCATGTGGATGAGGTTTTCACTGTCCTGTTTATGATGGACCCTGTATCGATCTGATTCACGCCGAATGTACAGTCAGAATAAAAGCTATGGGAGAGATAACGAATTTTTCCCGCGGATACTCTCAGTGTGCGCAACCAGATGTTGCCTGAGGTGTGATAGCACTTACATAGATGCAAACATAGTATTAAATAAATATACATTTTGTTATTATGGGTGTTTTTATTGGCGAGCATTCAAGCGTAAACACGTGCACTTACATAGATCCAAACATAGTATAGTAAACTACGGTTATAGCGAACTCAAAGGGACCACAATTTCTAGTTCGTTATAACCGTAATTCGTTATAAGCATATATACTAGTATATATAGCAAAAGGCAGGGACCTAAAAACCAGTTCGTTATATCCGCCAGTTCGTTATAAGCGTGTTCGTTATAACAGTAGTTTACTGTATTGATAAATATACATTTTGTTGTCATAGGTGTTTTTAATGGCGTGCATTCAAGCGTAAAAACAAATCTAGTAACCACTATTTGAATTTGTGTTTTGTTCTTTTTGTTTGTTTAACGCTGCACTCAGCATATATTCCAGCTTTATGACGGCGAGCTGTAACTGGACCAGACCAGTCAAATCAGTGATTACATCATGAGCATCGAAACGTAATTTCGTAATTAACTACGTAATTGGGATGCGATGACATACATTCAACAAAGTCACAGAACCTGACCACCCAATCCATTTAGTCGTCTCTTACGACAAGCGGGGCGGTCGGGTAGCCTTGTGGTTTAAGCGTTCGCTCGTCACGCTGAAGACCCGGGTTCGATTCCTGACATGGGTACAATGTGTGAAGCCCATTTCTGGTACTCACACTTACGACAAGCATAGGTTACCGGAACCAAATTTATTACCCGAAATCTCACGGGTCTACCATAAGTTTGTTTCGCAACGATTCAAGTGACAGTATATGTTTCGCTCTTTGCTTCAAAACATATAATAGTCTGCTCCGAAAACAATATCGTTTATTAATGGTAATTAATTGTTTATGGTACAACCTGTTTTAATATAATCCGTAATTATTAATTTCGGGTAGTTTGCCTATATAATTATTACCTACATGTTATTCACATTACACGCCGCGATATGACTGGAATAATGTTAAAAGCGGCGTTAAACCCAACTCACTCACTCACTCAAATTATTCACATTACCCATTAGGGATATAAAATAAAAACTCTCTATACAGCACTATTCCATCAACATCACTGCGGCCTGATAATAATCATAGACAGGCCAACCGGTCGTTGACAGCTTGATTTAACGTCCCTAGTCGAGGTACGATGACACCCAATCAATACAACCCGATCTCTCTGTACTCGGTACATAGGCAAGTATGGGGTACTAGGGACTGAAACTTTACCACGGCAAGGCAATTTATCGCTTCATCTTGAACGGGAGAGATCGAGCTTGGTTTTAAGCTACTTAATATTCAAGCAATATCATTGCATGGATTGGTTTCAGACAGGGTCAGAATAGGTCCCCAGGATCCTATACTGGTTGTAACCTATGCTGGTTGTAAGAGCCTACTAAATGAATCGTATGGTCAGGCTTGGTGACTTTGTTGATTGGGGTCTTCGTACCTTGACGGTGATATCGATCACAGGCCGCCGTCATATAGTTTGAATATTGCTGAGAGAAGCGTTAAACAACAAACACACGGGCACACAATTAGCTTATTGAGGATTTGAACGCTGGTTTTCGACATGCTAGACGAACGTTTGAACTATTAGGCTACCCCAAACTTGTGTCAGTAAGACCAGCTTCATTTTTTATGTGTTTCTCATCTCGAACCTCAAACAGCAAGAGAGCAGGCAGGCGAAAAAAAATAAAAATAAAACACTAATTCACAAATGTGAGAAATAAAATGTGGGAAATATTACAATTTAAAACACTTGGTTATGATCGCTTTGCTTCGGAAATGATCAAGAAAGAAAGATCAAGCTGACCTGTTTTTTTGTGTGTCTGTGTATTGGCAGTAGCAGTAATATTTTTATCACATCGAGCATAGATTTCCACCACGGTGGGTGAAATTGAGATAAGAAAACTTTTTATCATTCCACGTCAGAATACAAATTCAGGGCGGGCGGGAGATGGGAAACACACAAAAAAGATACGGACAGACTAATATGAAAATATACATACCTAATCTGTAGTTGAGTGTCACTAATATGACATTTCCCTTCTTGACAAACACATCGCCGTTGAATAAAGGTGAGCTTCCCGAGTAAGACAGGAAATCCCCACCGTGAATGAACACCATGACAGCAAACCCCGACCCCCCGGGACTTCCCCTGGGCACGTACACGTTCAGGCTCAAGCAGTCCTCAGACATCTACATTTACAGAATCGAGAGGAATGAATGGCTAATGATTTTGAATCGATCAGCGCAAATTAGGTATATTTAAGCCTCATACATAAAGAAAATCAATTAATCTGAAATAAATCGGTATAAATACACACAGTTGGCTCATAAATACCTTGAGAACCGTTTTTTCAGAAGCTGCAACAGAAATACGAGAATGCCTAACGCTCCGTTTTTACAGCCGCTTCGAGTAAATGTATATTTTGCACTCGGTTGCTGGTAGCGAAGAATTTCATTAAGATAACATTAACAATTGCCCTGATACGACAGCTGTCTGCGTGAACATCTGAAAAACCCTCCTTTTTGGGTCGCGTTACTTGAACCCTCAGATAACTGACAGCCTAATCTAAATGTAGGATGTCTAGGTTCTTAATACGATTTGTATTTCTTCACTGCATTGATATGTACAATTTCTTAATTAAAAAAAAAACAGATAGGAAACGAACAAACATAGAAAAGCATAGGCTATTGGGTTTACGCAGCTCAAAAACGACACTGTCAGGATATATAACATATCCACAATATAAGAGCGCCGCTTTGATATACTTCATGCGGAACTGCCCGTGAATGTTCATTTTCGAGACAAAAAAATCAACTTTGCTGCTCTGAATGCCTCGCTCATTTATACCAATAGGTTATAAGCCTCGATGCTGATTGGCTGAGTTGGATGTTCACCGACGGGGTACCCAATTGGGGGTTTGTCCGATGTGAGTGAGTATGGTTTTACGCCGCTTTTAGCAATATTCCAGCAATACCACGGCCCATCACGGAGCGAGAGGTATCACATTGGAGTGATTCTCTGATTTTAATGAGGTTGTGAGGTGAGTCGAAATGTGGTTTAACGTCGCGTTCAAGATTATTACACTGACATAGATTATTACATGTGGGTGGGTAGCTGCTCGAACTACTCCGGACTTAATAGTGCTAGTCCACGGAGATACAATGCAGCACTTTAAAAAGCATATATAAGAGAATACTGACTCTGAGCCCCCGGCTTGACGCGGACAGGGGATCGGACAGACGCTCTATCCACTAGACAGCAATGTTGTACTCAAGTACATTTACCTGGGTAAGACAGAGATGGGGCGGGGAGGTGGGGCAGTCTTGGTAGCACATGGGCCCCACTCGTGTAGCACTGACCGGTCGTCTCCATGGAGGTAGAGGCGTTGGTGCCTCGAACCTGTAACAAAAAAAGATAAAATCGGCTTCGTCTTGATCCTGCAAGGGCTCTTGGACTACGATCAACACAGCGATCCTAGAGGTGCGACTATGTTAAAGTGTGGGAATTACGATCACCTTAAAGCTAAGACAGCTTTGTGCAACGGGGCTCAGGACTTTCAGCGAGAGAGTTCCCGGATGTTCCCATCCCTCAAAACTGAACCATTATGATGACGCCATGTTGTTGCAGTTGATTCGGAAACAAGAACTCACTGGCCATTCATTCTTGGCAAGGAAAGCTGACGCAACGATAGATGACTATGCAGAACTATAGAGACATTATACATCAAGCATAACATGGCTTAAGTCGCAGAAATCACTGGAACCTGTTGATTCCAGAAGAAGGATCAACTCACCAATTCGGGGATTGTTGATTCAACTGCCGGATTCAACAGATTCTCATGATTTTTTCATTACAAAATGATATCACAACTGGCTTCAAAAGAGGTATAAGCTTGAAAATTGAATTGACCAAAACATTACAAACGTTATCAAAACATCACTAGGCTGAAAACAGTCGCTAAAAAATGAAAAGCTATAAGCCCAAGACATAACTCTGATACCGATATAAAATACATCACCCTCGCATAACCATTTCTTATTTTTTCAATTTTAGCCACCATCAAACATGGGTGTATACTTTCTTTTCCCGGCAGTTTATGTATAGAAAAATTAAGTACCGACCATGGATATAAAAGTAATAATACTTTGTTCCTGAAAATATTGGAAAAATAAATTTTCCTCTCGATTGCCTTATCTCGGCTTTTGATTCTGTGGCATCACCTATCTTGTTATATATGGTTCAGAAATATGGGGATACGAAAATTTACAAATTTTTGAGCGTGTTCATTTAAAAAAAATTTAAATTTGCTACTGGATTAAGAGCATCAACTCCAGACTCCAATCCCTAGTTAGAATGGATTAAAACTATATTAAATAACTGTGGGCTAACACACATAGTCTATAACCCTATCACCTGTAATACCCCATGGCTGGTTGCTAAGGTAGGCCAGATACTACAGGATCAATTCCTACAAGAATGGAGATGCAATATGGCATTGAGCAGTAAAGGCTACTGTTATCAGTATCTGACAGAAAAAACAAAATTTGAAAGAAACCTTTTTATAACAAAATATATGAATATTACAATCGTAATATTCAAAACGTGTAACCATCATTTACAAATTGAAATACCGCTGGAATAATGTAAAGCAAGGGGATCGTGCATGTGAACTGTGCAACTCTCCTTCAGTTGCAGACGAATTTCATTATCCGTTTAGATGCCAGGCTCTGTCAAAACATAGTCTTGTATACTTAGCAAATGCTTACCAAAATAATTGGTCTAATTTGTATACATTTTAAGAGGTTATTGTCCAGTCAAAACACTAGAGATCTTAAGAACCTATCGAGATTTATTGATGAAATATTTAAAGCAGTAAGAAAACACAAAACAGAAAATATATAATATATCCATGCATGACATACTGCCATCCTGTCACATATTAATACTCTATGTGTACATGCTTATTCTTTATAAAAAATAAAGTGTTTTGTTCTGTTATACATGACGTGTCTGCTTATTGTGGGAGGGAAGCCCGGAGAGATGCAGGGCGCAGACGTTTACCACTTTGGTTTTTCATAAACCATATATATGCTCTACAAATTGGTTAGTTTCAACGGTCGAGCAGATACTTAGGGGTCAGTTTATGCAAAAGTGGAGGGAAAGTAAGGAGTCGAGTCCAAAGGGTATATATTATAAACACTATAAGCAAAACCCAAAATTTGAAAACTATCTGTTACTTCCTAAAGGCAACTATATGCCGATATTAAAATTTCGTACCTCAAATCACGATTTGCCCGTTGAGACTGCCCGATGGCAGAATATACCAAGAGATGAAAGACTTTGTCAACTTTTTGATTCACTCTCGGCTGGAGATGAGTTTCACTATCTTTTCAGATGCGAAGCTCTACTCCAACAAAGAATTCGGTATATTCCCCAAAAATACTACTTGTGGCCAAATATTTTTAAACTCTGTAGAAATGTTTCACCCAAAAGGCTAAAAGATATAAGAAATTTGTCCAGATATATTGTATGTCTATTTAAGTTAATAAGAAAGAACCGTTGACCCTGTCACTTGTCATGTTGATATCTTTTTGTATTTTCATATGTATATATATATAGCTGTAAACGCTCATGTACCTTCGGTGGTGGTGTCTTTGAGAAATAAACTGAATCTGAATCTGTTAAACCCACGGGCACATGATTTAAAGCTTGGGGGTTAAAACATATTTATAGTAGTCAGAGGGGAATCATCCTGATTAAGAAAATGTAAGAACAAAATAAAAATGATAAAAAATGACGAAAGAAATTAACATACCTTTTTGCCGTGCCATATGTTATTCCCAAATATTGTTTGCTGTTAGCTGTGCTTAAGCCTCGCACGGGGCCGGACCCTGTGTAAACAATTTCTGTCGAAATTTCAAGTAGAAGAGCATTTTGAAATGCAAAAATTGCTAAAGCCAACACAAAAAGTATCAAGTTCATTGTTAATGGTACGAGGTACGGCGATAGTTTCGGAGACGTATCTGCAGGTCTGTTAACTCAGCGACGGAAGGTAAACAGATGTGTTTCACACCACTATATATGCACAGACCCGGGGGTTGTATCAAAACGTCATGAGTTAATTACGGGCTCAGGATGGTGGTGTGATTTCAACACTGAGCTAAGTATCAACATACTTTAATTCATTAAACCATCGTCAAAGTGGACAATGTCACTTTGATATGATCAAACCCTGTTTGAAATGGTATAACTTGTTACCATAAAAGCGAGTACACTAATCACGACAATTAACGTATTCAGCATCGTGCTTCTGGACTTTACGACATGTGTGTTTGTTGAGGGCGATGATTGCGTATGACTGGAGTGTGAATTAGCAGGAAGTACTGACATCTATTTAGGAAGGTTTGACCGATTTTATCACAAGCCAATCAGAATACATGGAGCGAAACTTTAGCCAGGCTATTGGGGTGCGTATTTTACAGTGAGTCAAATAAATGACGTCATTGACTTCTGGTTCAAAGACAAATACCGGCACTTTTAAAATTAACTATCCCCCGTTTGTTGTGGTTTAAAATCTGTAATGAATGCTTAACAATGTAGAAATGTTTAATGTTAATACGTTTGTGAACGCTGAGTACATTGTAATCATGTATACGTCCACTATACAAAGATAATGTGAGGTGAGGTGAAATGGGGTTTAACGTCGCGTCCAAGATTATTGCACTTATATAGCGACGTGCATGCACGTGTGTGTGTGTGTGTGTGTGTGTGTGTGTGTGGTTGCTTGTACTAGTCCGGACTGATGCCGATTTATAGTGCTAGCTCACTGAGATACCATGCCGCAGTTTAACATGAATACCCCACTCAGACACAGTATACTGACTCCGAGCCGACCAGTCCTTGTTTGAGCCCCTTAATGCCGAGCGCCAGACAGGGTAACAACAAGTACCATCTTTTAACGTCTTTTGGTATGACGCGGTCGGGGATCGAACCCCGGACCTTTCGCTCTCCGGGCGGACGCTCTACCACTAGACCACGGAGGCGGTCTACAAAGATAATGATTCGTTTGGCGACATACACCTAGTTTTCCCCAAGAGGAGGGGGAAGAAAGGGAGACGAGCGAGGTGGCCATATCGTCTAAGGCACCACAATTAGCTTACAGAGTTGCGTCCCTTGGACATACCAGAAACCTATGATCATGTGTTCGAATCTCGGTTCGCCCCGATTATGTTTCTAGGTTTGTCAGCACCATACTCGTGATTGTGGTAAAAATCTGAGACCTGTATCACTTCGGGCTTTCTTCCCACATTAAGCTGACACGCCGTGATATAACTGGAATACAGTTAAAAGCGGCGTTAAACCCAACTCACTTCCCCGTGGGACGACACGTGCCCTAAGTAACGAAGTGAACACATCAACAGGTAAGATTTCTGAGAAGAGGGAGTGCACTCCCTGACGCTTCTAGTGAGTACAACAGTCCCATCCCCTTTCGGTGTGCAGTGTGACAAATTTGGCCGGAATTTAGTTCGTTAAAACTTTAACCCGGATATCAAGTGTCCGGGTCGAGACTCATCAAAATTGGTCGGCAAAAGTAATTATACGACCATGTTTGATGCTGGCTTAGAATAAAACTAACAAAGTTGTGTTTCGATGATGATGTATTTGATTCGGTTATCATCATTGTGGTTTGACCTTCAGTCTGCGACCGCCTCCGTGGTCTAGAGGTAGAGCGTCCGACGGAGAGCGGAAGGTCCGGGGTTCGATCCCCGGGCGCGTCATACCAAAAGACGTTAAAAGATGGTACTTGTTGTTACCCTGTCTGACGCACGGCATTAAGGGGCTGAAGAGAGGACTGGTCGGCTCGGAGTCCGTGTACTGTGTCCGAGTGGGGTATTCATGTTAAAATGCGGCATATATATATATATATATATATATATATATATATATATATATATATATATATTCTTTATTCCTCCATAGGAGAGTTACAAACATATAAATACAGTATTTACAAGTGTACGAAAACAGGCATTCTTATGTTAAGTCTATCCCTGCTCACATGTCAGAACATATAATGTTTCTTCACAAGGTCTATATATTTCTTCAATTGGAAGAGACCTTTGATTGCAGCTTTTGCAAAGTTCTCTACCATCTCTGGATTTGCTGATCTTGGACGCGACGTTAAATCCAATTTCACCTCACCTCACCTTCAGTCTGCACTGTTTCGGCGACTCTTCAGCCGAGTAACGTTGTGATAACTTTTGTAATGTTTTTTGTAAAATCTAATTTCATAGTGTACACTTTCATTTTCCCGGCAGTTTAAATAGAAGTGAGTGAGTATGGTTTTACGCCGCTTTTAGCAATATTCCAGCAATATCACGGCGGGGGAAACCAGAAATGGGCTGTACACATTGTATCCATGTCGGGAATCGAACCCGGGTCATCGGCGTGTCCTGATCGACCTTTCGCAAACTTTGACCGACCAATGAAATGACTGACAAGAAATCGACATTAGCCAATCAGAAGGCAGCTTTCTCGAGCTTTACGATACTAGTTTCAAACTGGCGACTACGCTTCGAAACATATTTTGACGTATGTTCGATTAAATCTTTTAAAACTGATCAAAGAACATTCTGGAATGGCTTATAAATGCCCTAAATTGTATGGATATAATCATAAAACGCGTAACTGTCGTTCGGAATACCCTCTGTTAAATATTTCGAGGTTGCATGATTAGAAAACACATTCCGACTGTCACTTTCATGATCTGGTAAGCGACGCTCTGATTGGTTGGATGAAAGGTCGTTTTGACGTGACCTAATTCTAATTCTTTATTCATGTACATGTGTAGGCCAGCGGCCCATGGTACAATATTTGGTCCATCATAAACATTTATAGGCTTAGTGTTTGGAGTCTAACATTCATAGCATGGTATATAAAAGTTGCAACATTTCTAATTACAGTTTCATTGTTTACCGCCATAAGCATATTGAATTTAGCAAGAGTAGGATGTACAAAATACTTCTGTGGTAAGTACTGAAGACGAAGTTCATCATAAGCGTTACAAATTAATAAAAAATGATATTCATTCTCGACATATCTTTGGTTGCAACTATTGCACAATCTCTGCTCTCGTGGAGTATTAACGTATCTACCAGTCTCAATATGGAGAGTATGGGAGCTACAGCGAAACTGGGCTAGTGCAACACGAAATTTGTTGATAGTGATAGCAGACAAATACAACTCTAGACTGAATGAATTTTTGAAAAGTGTATAATGGAACATTTTAGAACTATTTGCTAAAGACCAATGCCAGTCCTGTTCGTAAGCAAATTTTAACCGATCTTCACATTCGGAAATAAATGATTCGGGGCAAATAACATATTGGTTCTCCCATATATATCCAAATCCAAGGCTGTATAAAAGAGTTTTGACTTTTGTAGCCCAATTAGTTTTACCATGTGTGGCTAGCTGAAATAACATATCATAACTTTTCTTAGGATATCGTGAATTTGGTAGGGACATAAGTTTACACCAATATTTTATACAGCGTTTATACGCAGAAATGTACAGTGGGTATCTTCCACACTCTCCTCGCACAACATGATTGGGAGTAGACGTTTTAACACCTAGCAGACGTTTACAAGCAAGTACATGGATACTTTCTATTTCTTTGCAGTTTTCAAAACTCCATATTTCAGCCCCATATAACATAATTGGAGCAATTTTAGTATCGAATATTTTAAAAAATAGTTTCAGTGGAATAGGTTTAAGTGATGAAAGGGATTTTAGAACCGAGAACAATACCCGTTTAGCCTGTAATGAAGCATTGTAAGTATGTTTCGACCATGATAAATTCTTTGAAAATACAACTCCCAAATATTTGTACGATGATACACATTCCAACTGACAACCAGTGAAATACCATTTCTCAGATCTAGAAAGTACACCACCATTCTTAGAAACTACTATTTTCGACTTATCAAGATTTACATTTAGGGAATAATTATGGCAATAGTGTTCGAGTACATCGATGCGTTTTTGGAGGCCATATACAGTATCTGATATAAGAATTACATCATCAGCAAAGAGTAGCAGGAATAGTTGAATTATGTCTGGATGGAGCTGGATTCCGGGTTCACCTGTAATGGGATGTCCTCAGATCTTTGTTTAGCGGTAGCGAGAACTAAGATCTGAAATTAATGAGATTGATATAGAAAAAGAACAAGAGACGTCAACTTGCTCGAAAGTGTACTTTACTAAGAAAGTGTTACCCCAGATATAATATTTGTTACAACTGACCACTTTCTAAAATGGCATTGTGTATTCATTTGTGTTTGTACTGATGAAACGGTAAACATGACATCAGGTTCCAGTGTCCCGCCATATTATTTGGATTCCGTGCAAGTAACTTTATGATCAATCAACTTCATCAGGAGATATTTATATCTCAAGTTGAAACAACAACCATATTGTTTGAAATAATATTCTCGCGGATATAATAAAAGTTGAAACATTCTTAGCATTTCAGGGGGCCACGGGTGGCCCAGTCGTCTAAGGCGCCGCAATTCGTTGTGAAACCTATGATCATGGGTTCGAATCCCGGTTCGCCCCGATTGTGTTTCTAAGTTTGTTAGCACCATACCCGTGCTCGTGAGTTTCACCGAAGTGGTAAACGTCTGAGACCTGCATCACTTTGGGCTTTCCTCCCACATTAAGCTTACACGCCGCGATATAACTGGAATACTGTTAGAGGCGGCGTTAAACCCAACAAAAACTTAGCATTTCAGAATAATAACACAAACAAGAGTCATCAGAAAGATGACATATCCCCCCGGCAGCTGTCTGTAAAGTAACCACAAGTAAATGTGCAATTCTGTATGTAATGAGTCAAGAGTTGAATGTACCAACAAAAGATCCACATGGTCGCATCCATATGAAATGGAAAGTAAAACAAAATTAATGAGTTTCTGTTGGTTTTTTTATGCAATCAAATGACAAATTACAAGAAACAATAACTAAACAAGCGTATAGTAAAC